CACCTGCACGCCCCCCCCTTTTATTTACCACTACACCCCCCCCCTCCCCCCCCACCCCCCTCCCTCCCCACACACCCATCCCCCCCCCCCCCCCCCCCCCCCCCCCGCAAAAAAAAAAAATAGGCCAACATGCCCTGCAATAGGGGACTCCAAGTAAACTGAAGTTCAGTCACTTAACAAAATACCAGACAGCCAATGAAACAAGCAAGTATGAGACAGGAAGAATGCTTTGACAATGTTGTTAGGAAGGTATATCACAGACCAGTCTCAACTATATAAAAGCATTTATATACCTGCTGTCAGGGAGGACACAACAATGATAACAGTTATGCAAGATGTAGAAACTGATGTGTTCTGATTATAAAAATTAAATTATGGGCATCGAGGGAAATAATGTTAATGAAAAGATAAAGAAGCCAAGAACATCGTGCTGATTTTTTTTTTCTCTTTCCTAAAGCCTTGTTCATTTTTGCAGTTCATTTTCTTAAAAGGGTCCCTATTCAATTCCTTCAAGCTCTCTGTTCCTGCAACAACAAAGATTATCACTTGCTAATCTACATTAATGTATACCTGGGAAGGGACTTATATCTGCGCTCTGCTCAGCTAATGAGTAAGGAGAATCCATTTAATTGCCACAGAGAATTCTTTTAATTCTTAAAACAAAAAGAGCAGTCCTGCTGGTGATTCCAAGCAGATGGGGCTGATATTGTAGGCAGATTGGTCTTCTGGCCACCCTCTACCACAGAGTGAAGTTGGTTTCCTCCTCTGAATATGAATAACCTTGAAGCAGATCTTAAATCATAGGTATTGATATCTGCAAAAGACACACATAAATGCACCCCAGAGCTCACTCTCAGATCCCAAGTGGGCTCACTGCCAAACTGAAGGATGAATTGAAAACAGAAATGCACTGCAAAATTGACAGAGCTCTTAATTTTACATAGTTCTGTTCTTGTCATTCTTAAAACTGTCTCTAGACTCTACTGGTATACTAATAAATTGAGGTGGTAAGGATAACAGAGAAAGGAAGGCTAAAATGTTCTAGATTCAAATCTTGATGATTTAGTTATTTTGCTATGGCTCTATAGAAAAAAAAATAGCAAATTTAAAGTGTTGGACAAACATACCTAGATAACAGATGAAAATGTTTTCCTTGACTCAGTATCCTAAAGACAGTAAAAATATATGTTATAATTTTCTTAAAGCCCTAACTAATTTTCTGTTAAAGTGTATCTGTCTTTTTGTCTTTGGGGCCAAAATTCTGGCATATGTGAAACAGCTGACATTTTCAAAATAGCCCTGTTTCTCTAGTAAATAGTCAGCACCACTGATTAAGGATCTCCTCTTTGTTAAGTGCTAGAAGAGGTAGTAAGGACATAGACAAAAAAGATATGCCACCTGTCTTCATGCATCACACAAACAAAGTAGGAAACAGGCAGGTAACCAGATGTTGCAGCTCAGGAGGATTCAGGGATGGAAGATACCAAAGTTAAGTAGGACACAGGGAAGGGCAATCACAAACAGGAGTGGTCCGGTGAGGCTCTGCTCAGGCAGCAACGGAAGACTGTTCCAGGTGGAGTGGATTGCATGAGAGACCATTTCAGTAATCAAATGGCTGACATGATGGGTATAGAAATGCTTTATAGATATACTTGTTTTAACCCTGTGGGAGACTAACCTGTGACATCAAAATAATGTTCTTCCCCTCTAGAAGTGTTTGGTTGCAATAATAAATTTAATTCGTAACTTGGTTAACCCGAGGTTTATTTTTCTCACCCCACCGCCAGAAGAGGTCTAAAGATGGGCAACCCATGGCTGCTGCAGCTACTCAAGGATATTGTTAAAAAGCAAGGCTCGCGCGCGCCACCCTTTGGATCCACCAGCCTTAGCATGTAGCTTTCAGCAGCAAGGGTTCAAGATAGCTGTAGCCCCAGGCATTATATTGATAGTCTGTCAGGAAAGAGTCTAGATGGAAGAGAGTAGGCATCCATATCAGGAAAGCAGAAATTTCCCAGAAATCCTTATCTGTTTTCTACCTATGTCTCATTGGCCATTTCTGTATCACCAGGCCACGCCCAACATCAAGGGAGCTGGGATTTTTTTTTTTTTTTTCAGTTGAGGACATTGTCTCCCCCCCACAAAATACATTAGCAAGAAAGAGAGAGAATGTACATTAATTAGGAAACAACCAGTGTCACTACAAACATACTGAAAAAACCAAAATAACTATCAAGGAATTGGCACTTCAGGATAATTTGAACCAGAATACATGCTGAGAAAAAAACATTCACAGTCCTTTGCACAAAATAATTATCTGGATAGTATACTCAATCTTTTTGAAGCACCATGAGATATCATTTTAGTATAACTAGAGCTCAAAGGACACAATACCACCTTTTCTAAAATTAGAAATTGCCTCTTTTTTTCAAGTGGGGGGTGGGACAGGGAGAGCTTAGGTGATTTCTGGTTCTCTTCCACAGGGTATTTTAGAACGTCTGGATGATGGGGAGGTTGTGATTGGGGATGGCAGCTTTCTCATAACTTTGGAGAAGAGAGGCTACGTGAAGGTTGGGCTCTGGACTCCAGAAGCAGTGGTAGAACATCCAGACGCAGGTCAGTGCACACATCACCCAAGAATGTTTATCTGAGTGACATTTTGTTTAAATCTGATTGAAGGAAAGATTAAGATATAACCAGTGTTTCTGAGGACTGTTTCTGTTGCAAAATTATCTCCAAGATATAGAGACATTGGTAGTATGTTGTCTAAAGCACATAGAAGAAAATGGCCTGTCTCTCCCTCTATCCCTCAATTGTTCCCTCTCTCTCTCCCTCCTCTTTCTCATGCATACATGCATGCCCACACTCACTCATTTACATCTTATTGTACAGGCAGTGCTTAAATATATATTTTAGTAGTTGTCCTATGATATTTACCTTGTAGATACTTAAGAGCTTTCTTAAATAGCAAAAGTTGTTTCTGCTTCAGATTCATCCTCCCAACTGACTTGCATACTTTAACAGTGTATATATAGTAAGAATGGTTAATGGCAGTTAACCAGCTTAACAGAGGACAGACAACCAGGTTCTAGAGATGAAAGGGCAAAGTTTTACATTATTTTCCTAGCTAAGGAAAATGAAAAAAAAAGAGATAGAGGTAGAAACTGTGTGGGATTGGTTGATTATGCCAAATTAGAACTTGTGTGTGTTTTGATGTTGCTGTTGTTGTTTTGTTTTTTGTTCTCCTAAATTAAGGTTGGAAAATTAGGGCCAAGAATGAAACATGGGGAAAAAAAGAATAAAAGCTGGGAATGAAATTTGTGAGTTGCTCTGATTTAATGCATATATGCAGAAAAACCTAGGGTCCTGTGTTGGTTCTTTCACTGACCACCCACAAGTCAAGGGACTTGTCTAAGGTCATATACTTAGACAAGTCCCTTGACCTCTCCAAGGATCTGTTTCTTCCTCTGTCACATGGGTACAGGACATGGACTAGTGATGAGGACTAAGGAGTTAACCCATATGAAATGCCCAGTGTATCTTCCATTCCCATTATTTAACAGATGTTTCCAGAAAGTGAAGTTGTCTGACCCAAGAACTTGTTCTTAATTTTGGAAGGTCTTTTTGCTAAATCAGGAAGAAAGTATTGAAATAGCCAGGATAAGGATATGGAGAGGAGGCAAAGACAGGAAAGATAAAGAAATGGATGATTTTTCTGGGAAGCCCAGGAAATTATTCAGGCTTTCAGGGGTCCCCCCAGTGCTCGCCTGTGGTAGGTGCAACATACCCATTCTGCTCTCTCTGAGTTTCCTCCTTGTACTTTGGGTCATCAGCGCTGAATGCAATAGAACAGCAGCATCCTTCACAACAATGGTGTCCCAATAAACCCCTCGAGACCAAGAGACCAAAGGACCAGGGACCATGGGCCAACCAGGGCTTCATCTCTACAAGTGACTGCACCAGGCCTTGAGGTCGATCAACTGGAGAGTATAGGGCTTCTTCATATGACAGATCCAGTCCTAGAATTCACTAACTTAATCTTCAGCTTTTTATCAGTTCTGGCTTTGAAACTGGGTCTGGTTGAAAGAGATGGGGGTGAGTGCACTGCAGCAGCTGCTGAAAATGAGAGCTTCTGTAATTTTCATTTCAATTAAAAAAATTACTTTATAGTTCGTCAGCTTCACATGGAATTCTTGAGAGCAGGCTCGAATGTCATGCAGACGTTCACCTTTTCTGCCAGTGAGGACAATATGGAAAGCAAGGTAAATTCTAACTGGGGTACAGAGGGGAGGGAGCTTCTCCAATAAGCACAACCTCTCCATGGGAATTGACCTGATGTATTACCACACTCCATTACAAAATCCACAGGCAAGATCTAGCAATTCATTATTTTATACACATTTATATGAAATAAAGAAGTTTTTTCGGCCCTTTTTGGTGAAGGAGGGAACAGGACCAGACAGAACAGGCCATTGGAAGATCAGAGCCATCCTGGTCCTGTCTTTTTTGGAGAAAGAACACTTTGTAGATGAGTCATTCACCTCATTTCAATGATGTTCGTTTCTGCCATGTCTGTCTGGAGACAGGCCTCCTGAAGAATACTGCACTGGCCTAGGAATGAGAAAAACTGAGTTTGATGTCCAACTTTGTACCTATTGGCTGTGTGACTTTTTGTGATCGTTGACTTTCTCTCTGCACAATGGGTATAAAAATAGAGCTTATGTTCATACACCTGTGGGGAAGAGTAGATGGGATGAAGGGTGTGGAAGTACAGTGAATCAGTCTGCAAATGTAAACTGTTAATAGTTGCAGATGTTAACATTCCCTCATTCATTTAACAAACCAACACTTATTGGCTACCAATAAGAGTTATAGCCGATGGTTGTAGTCCAAGTACTATTGTTATGGTCCAGTCTCTATGCTAGTTACAAAGATGATACAAAAGCATGGACCATATTCTAGAGAGGCTTGTGATCAAGTGTGGGAGGTGAACAAATAAACAGTTCTTCAAATTCAGTGTAGTATGTACAATAATGGAAATATAAGGGCACCAGTTACAGAGGAGATTGCACCCCACTCTGCTCATCTTCTCATATTCCAGTTTAAATAATTAGTTGATAAGCTTGTACTCAACCTTTATTGTTCATTATATTTTACGTTTCAAATGCTCTCTAACACCAGTGGGAAGCTGTAAACGCTGCCGCCTGTGACCTCGCCAGGGAAGTGGCTGACAAAGGTGACGCTCTCGTGGCTGGGGGGATCTGCCAAACATCAGTGTACAAATACCACAAGGACGAAGGTAGAATTAAGAAGCTTTTTCGACAACAGCTAGAGGTTTTTGCCAGGAAAAATGTGGACTTCTTGATTGCAGAGGTAATCTAGTGTTGGAAGAAGATTAAACCTGTTTTGTCGTGTGTGTAACTATGTAACCTTTAACTTTCCTGAGGGAATTGGACAACCTTATGGCCTCATTTCCTCCATGTGGATGGTCAAAGGTCTGTTGAAACGCACTGGCCCAAGCCAACATTCTCTGACTTGTATGCCAGGTCCTCTGTGAGGCCAAGGCTATATCCTCTGACCATAGCCTTTGGTTCTCTAAAGTATAAGTGGTTGCAGTGGTTAATTTAAGGCACTCTACAGTCTGGGAAAAGAGGAAGAGGACAGTGACTCCCAAGGACAAGGCCAGGCTGAAAGGTGACTTGTGGGGGACTAAAGACAGCAAGGGAGAAAAGCTTCAGAGGCATTTGGCTGCTCGGGGTTATCCAGGCCCCACCAATAGTTCTCAACACTGAGAAGCTTCCTTCGCCCCCTCCATCCATGCCTTGCTCTCTCTGCCTCTCTGCTTCCCTTCAACCTATAAGATGTGAGTGACATTTTGAAGACAGAATCAGTAGGCATTGGTCATGGATTGGACATGAAGGTCCAGAACCTTCTCTTCCTTTCACCTCATTCCCCATTTCCCCACACAACTACTACTGCCTGGAGTCAAGCCCTCAACCTAGTTCTTTACCCCAAACAAGAAAATAGCAACCCAGCAATTACTTCCCCCATAACTCCACTCACTCTAGGGCAAACCCTGCCTCATCAACCTCCCTAAGCCCAGCATCACCCAAGCCTGAGCCACCTGGAATCTGCAGAGACTCGCAAACTGCCCTAGAGGTTCTCCAGATGGGTGGGAAAACAACTTGCTGATTTAAGAACCTGTCTTTTGGGCTGGGGATGTGGCTCAAGTGGTAGCGCGCTGGCCTGGCATGCGTGCGGCCCGGGTTCGATCCTCAACACCACATACAAACAAAGATGTTGTGTCCGCCGAAAACTAAAAAATAAATATTAAAAAATGTCTCTCTCTATCTCTCCTCTATCTCTCTTTCTCTTAAAAAAAAAAAAAAAGAACCTGTCTTTTGATTCTATCATTCCTCATACGATACTTCTGCAGACTGTGCTTCTAAACCAATAGGGAAGGAACAAGAGGTTTTCAATTAGCTTTTCTCCAGTTACCTAAAGCTCATTTTGGGGATTGTGACACTGAAGGGGGTTCCTACAACCCATATGGGTTTACCAGAAATGGCGTGGCCACCAATGGCAAGGAAATAGAGTAGCTCTCTCTTTCCACTCCAAGCTTGATCTTCTCATCTGCAGACAATAATTCCTTTCCTACTTTCTGAACACTTATGAATATATAAACTAGAAGTGAATCTGAAAGTATTTTAATTATAATATATGATAAGCTATTTATTTTTCAGAGATTATTCCAGTTCCATAAAAGACAAGCCCAAAATTTTTAAGTAATTTTTTTTTCTTCAAAATATTATTTTTTTAAAAAAACCTTATGATTGTGTGGGTTGTTTTGGTTTTCTGTTTGTTTGTTTGTTTGTTTGTTTTGGTACCAGCAATTGGTACCAGAGATACTTAATCACTGAGCCACATCCCCAGCCCCTTTAATAAATAAATAAATAAAGTAATTGGACACAATACCTTTACTTTATTTATTTATTTTGTGACAGGGTCTCACTAAGTTGCTTAGGCCCTTGCTAAATTGCCAAAGTTGGCCTCAAGCTTGCAATCCTCCTGTCTCAGCTTCCCAAGTCACTGGGATTACAACCATGAGCCCCCACACCTGGCTTATGTGCGTATTGTACTTATGGTCATCATTTCACTGAATAATTATCCCTGAATGAAAATCTATATATCATTATTGAAGGAATTAAAATACTTAGATATTCTTTAGCTAGTGTGCTGTAAACACATTTCTTAGCAAGTTTTATTGCACATATTTGATCATTTTTGTAACCATTTTGCAACATCTGTGTTCTACTATTCAAAATCTGCTTTAGTTTTGACTAATAGAAAAAGTCACATTTCTCTTAGTATTTTGAGCATGTCGAAGAAGCTGTGTGGGCTGTGGAAGTCTTAAAAGAATTGGGGAAACCTGTGGCAGTTACCATGTGCATAGGCCCAGAGGGAGACATGCATGCTGTGACACCCGGAGAATGTGCCGTGAAGCTGGGGAAGGCAGGTAACTTGGACCTATGATGTGATAGGCAACTCAGCTGTTATTTATGAAATTTAACAGTGTTTGCTTATTATAGTGAGAGTAATAAAAGACTAAAAAGGAAATAAAAGGATTAGCTGGAATCAGTTTCTTTAGCTGTCTTGGGACAGCTGATCTCTAAAGTAGCTTCTAACTATTAAAAAAAAATAGACAATAAATAATAAAATGTAAAAGTTCTTCTATTTCATCACACAGGGGCTAACATCATTGGTGTGAACTGCCGATTTGGGCCCTGGACCAGCTTGCGGACGATAAAGCTCATGAAGGAGGGCCTTGGGGCTGTAGGACTGAAAGCACACTTGATGATACAGTCCCTGGGGTTCCACACACCCGACTGTGGCAAAGGAGGGTTTGTGGATCTCCCAGAATACCCTTTTGGTAAGCCCAAGCACGTATAGAGGTCCTTGTATTTCTTGTGATAAAATTCAAATTAATAGAATAAAAACTATGCTATAGTTTTATAAGACTGCATAAGGCAAAAATATTTGATGTTAATCAAATATGAGTTTTTTTCTGGGAGAGGTGGAGTTCTGGGAATTGAACTCAGGGGCACTCAACCACTGAGCCACATCCCCAGCCCTATTTTGTATTTTATTTAGAGACAGGGTCTTTCTGAGTTGCTTAGCAACTCACTTTTGCTGAGACTGGCTTCAAACTCTCTATCCTCCTGCCTCAGCCTTCAGAGATGCTGGGATTACAGGTGTGCGCCACTGCGTCCAGCTAAAGCTTGTAGCTTTTTAATTTGAAAAAAAATGCCCAACAGAGCATCTATCATTTAAAAATGGGGAGAGTAACAGAAATACTATAACTATTGTATTACAGCCCTGGAGCCCAGAGTTGCAACCAGGTGGGATATTCAAAAATATGCCAGAGAGGCCTACAACCTGGGGGTCAGGTACATCGGTGGGTGCTGTGGATTTGAGCCCTACCACATCAGGGCAATTGCAGAGGAGCTGGCCCCAGAAAGGGGATTTCTGCCACCAGCATCAGAAAAACATGGCAGCTGGGGGAGTGGTCTCAATATGCACACCAAACCCTGGATTAGAGCAAGGTAGGATTCTTTTAAATTAACCTTATTATTGTTTTTAAATCTCATTTTATTTATTGCTGTTAAGGTTGTATATACACATAGTAATGAAAATTCAAAAAATATATAAATGTATAAAATTAAAAAGAAGATATCTCCATCCTGATGCCATTACCTTTTCCAGAGGTGTCCTACTCTGTTGCCTAACAAAATACCATAGACTGTGTGGCTTATAAACAACAGAATTTTATTTCACAGTTCCAGAGGCTGAGAAATACAAAATGAAGGTCTCAGAATATCCAGTGTTTGGTGAGGGCCTGCTTTTCCATAGATTGTGCCTTCTTGTTGGGTCCTTACATAGTAGGGAGGGAAAGGCAAGTATGGGGTCTCTTTCATAAAAGTACTAATCCCATTTGTGGGAACTCAATTCTCATAACCTGATCAATTCCCAAAGAGTGCACCTTCTGATGTGATCACATCGATGATTAGATTTCAATATGTGAATTTGGAGCAGAGGGGACACAAACATTCAGAGCTGTAAGCACAGAGGTAACCTGCTTGTCTTCTGTTTTCTGAAGTCTTGTACCTCTGTTTTCTTGTTTTATCAATTTTAAGTAGTAATTCTTGATAACCCTCTATGAAAGCTGAAAAATCTAAGTCACATAATCCACCCCTTCCCCCATTCTCTCCTTCTAATTTTGATTCATTATGTTTTTATTTCTTCTGTTGATTGTGTTTTTAAATTAAAATTATATATTAGCCACCTATTTTTAATCCATCATTATAAGGCAGGCTCTCTTCACTCCACTCTATAAAATAAGAATTGATTCCCTTCTACTTCTCTCTAGTTTCCCCATCTATATTTTAGCTCCTTTAAGTTGTGCCAGTACTTTTACATCATCAAGGCTTATAACCATTCTGTTCTGTTCTGTAATTATATAAAGTCTTCCAAGGCTTGTCTGTAGGTTGACTCTAAAATGTAAAGCCAGTGAATAACATTTACAATATTACCATACTTGTCATGCTAAATAGCAGGACTGAAATTTATTTTTATCTCCCCTTTTTCTTTAAACTTGATCAACAGGTGAACTCTTTCCTTTGTCACACACACTGGAAAATACTGACATGCCCCAGGAATTCTCTGAGTGTTTCTAGGCAATAGAAATCCCCATCATTACATTGCTGGTGGGACTGCAAATTGGTGCAGCCAATTTGGAAAGCAGTATGGAGATTTCTTGGAAAGCTGGGAATGGAGCCACCATTTGACCCAGCTATTCCCCTTCTCGGTCTATTCCCTAAAGACCTAAAAAGAGCATGCTACAGGGACACTGCTACATCGATGTTCATAGCAGCACAATTCACAATAGCAAGACTGTGGAACCAACCTAGATGCCCTTCAATAGACGAATGGATAAAAAAAATGTGGCATTTATACACAATGGAGTATTACTCTGCATTAAAAAATGACAAAATCATAGAATTTGCAGGGAAATGGATGGCATTAGAGCAGATTATGCTAAGTGAAGCTAGCCAATCCCTAAAAAACAAATGCCAAATGTCTTCTTTGATATAAGGAGAGTAACTAAGAACAGAGTAGGGACAAAGAACAGGAGAAGAAGATTAACATTAAATAGGGATGAGAGGTGGGAGGGAAAGGGAGAGAGAAGGGAAATTGCATGGAAATGGAAGGAGACCCTCAGGGTTATACAAAAGTACATACAAGAGGAAGTGAGGGGAAAGGGAAAAATAATACAAGGGGGAGAAATGAATGACAGTAGAGGGGGTAGAGAGAGAAGAGGGGAGGGGAGGGGAGGGGAGGGGAGGGGAGGGGGGGTAGTAGAGGATAGGAAAGGCAGCAGAACACAACAGACACTAGTATGGCAATATGTAAATCAATGGATGTGTAACTGATGTGATTCTGCAATCTGTATATGGGGTAAAAATGGGAGTTCATAACCCACTTGAATCAAAGTGTGAAATATGATATATCAAGAAATTTGTAATGTTTTGAACAACCAACAATAAAAAAATTAAAAAAAAAAAAAAAGAAATCCCCATCATCACATTATTTAGCAGACATCGCCTCAACTTGGTAATTAGAGAGTGTTCATTCAGTTCCATGTGGAATCAAAACTAGGAATCAGCTTTCAAACTTAAAACTTCTTTGGGGCCTGGGGGTCTTGCTCAGTGGTAGAGCACGGGGGCTCTGGGTTCAATCCCCAGAGAGGCAGGGTGGGGGAGTGGTGGCAAACACTGTCTGTCAGAAGCCTTGACAGGCAGGAAGACAAGAAAGGCCAAGGTGGGTCCTTCTCATTTTCTGCCTTATGCTTCCAAACCTCCCTTTCCATCTGCTAACCATCATTTCTGACTTCTTCAGATTTGGAGTAAAAGGAAGAAGGATGTAAAGGGGTTAACCCTGTCATCATTTGATTGGCACCCTAATAGAGACTGCATTCTTAGAGTCTGGCCCATCTCCTTGAATGCTTTTGTGGTTCTTTAGAACTTTTCACTAGAAACTGAGGTCTGTATTCTCATGCCATAGGCATTTGCCTCCAACTGCTACTTCCTCCTCAGACTGGCTGTCCAGCAAGTCACTCCAGATATACTCCTTTTGGGATCCCATTGTCCTTCCTGGTGATTCTCTTGAACTAGATTTTAGCTAGGTCTAGACTGACTCTCTCACTTTCATCAGGTTCAAATGGCTCCCACCTTCCTTTAAACAGACAAGCTCTGAAAATATGGTCTGATGCCAATTTAACAACCCCAGCACCCTCTTTGCTCACAAGCAAAATAGCTAGCCCGCTGTTCTTTTGTGATCTAGATTTCCCAGTGTAGGTGAGTTGTCAGACAGGTTCATGGCCACTTACCTTGATGCATCTATGGAGTGTCTATTTTGCAACTACCTTCAATACCAGTTATCTATCATATCTTAAGACTTCCAATCTAATACCCTGTTACAGGGGTGATTTTACATTCACTGCAGAACTAAGAGATATGCATGAGACCACAGAGAAAGAGGAATAATCCTGTTTTATAAAACTTGAGCTACTAGGAGAATGTTCCAAGCATCAAAGTCAAATGGATCCTCTTCTCTTTCATCTGTTGTCCAGATCACATCATACTTCAATTTGCTTCATAATTGACTTTCTTTGTACTTGTACATTTGGTTTTCTAGGAATTTCTAATAATCTTTCTTTTTCATTGCTGAAGGAAAAATTACAGGCCTTCACTTTCTCTGAGGTCTTCCAGTTTCTAAATTATAATATTTGTTATAGTCAATAGTTTTATTATTAAAGACATTTTTCTTGGGGTGCCCCTAAATTACTGTTCTGTTTTGTCTGTCTAACTCATTCTTGCTTTCTCTCATGTATGTACTTTCTCTCTTTCTCTCCCATAAATATTACATATATATCACATAAAATGCACAAAATATATGAAGATTGTCATTGTAATACCATCTCTTTTCCATTTTCTAGAAACCAGTCATAGCTTCTGCTGTCTTCTCTCTACTCAGTGCTGTTAAAAATTTAATCCATTTTGTATTTCTTTATTCATTTCAGTGAGATTTGAAATGGTATCCATTTTTGAACCGGAACAATTTTCCTAATGTAAATTATTTAGAGTATAAAAATGGGCAAGACATCGCTTAGCTGAATCTTTTTTTCTGTGAGATATAGATATTTATCAGAGAACATATTTTCTATAGGTATCATGTTTAGAAAAATATACAAAATGTAAATATAGTTAAAGGTGAAAAGCATACTTTGGTAGTTATTAAAATAGTTTAAATAAGTGTAGAACAGTTTACTTTATCAGCCCCTAGGGACCCTTAAAATTAGTTAACCATGAAAATTAAAACATTATTCTGTAAACTAAAGCAAGACACTCCTGCACCATGAACTCCAAACCTACTGATGATATTTGTAGAAGTTTATGATTTCACAGAAAGCCATATAAACCCCTGATTTCTGAAATTTCACCATCTGAAAATATTGATTTTTTCATTGTTTTGCAAGTAAAGTGGAAAAAAAAACACACTAAAAATATATTTAACACCAAGGTCTGTGACCAGGAACCTTGTACTCTTCTTTCTTTGTCTAAGAGCAAGGAACAAACACTGACAAAGTGGTGTGAATTCTGTTCCTAGTTACTTTTTTGAAGAATCCGACTTTGCTCATTACATTAAAAACTGTCTCACTTCTCATTGCATTAAAATATTAAGTTGATTTAGAAGACCTCTTTTAGAAATTTTGAATGAATGTAATTCATCAAAACATGTAAAGTTAAAATACATTGCCTTTTTCTGAAAGGTGGTACGAAACCTAATGATTTTTATGAGGATGGACATGTGGGAAAGGGCCCTGGCATTAATGGACATCATTTTTCTGTCTGTAGAAACAAAAGTTCTACTTTAGCCTGATCACAGCCAAATTTAAAGTTTTAAAAATATATACATGTATGTATATGTGCATATATGTGCCCAAATGTACATCTATATGCATTTATATATAGGACATACTGGACTTATAAATAAGTATGGATCTCTTAATTAATAATATATATTTTAAAATGCAGGGCTAGGAGGGAGTATTGGGAGAATCTACTGCCAGCTTCAGGTCGACCTTTCTGTCCTTCACTATCAAAGCCAGACATTTAAAGAGAAGAGAAAGAAAACACTGAAATAACAGAACAGATGGAAATGGCCTCAAGCCCCCTGGACCTCAGCCTGCCCTGCCATCCCAGCTGCCCAGCAGCCACAGCACCGCAGTCCTTTCAGTTCAGGTTACTGCGACAATGGAGCTTCTGTTCAATGGATGTCTTGAGCAGGGTGCTGCAGGAAATGCGGAGTAAGAAGATCCCGTGTCCCCAAGTACCTGCAGTCCAGTAATGCTGTGGTGCATTCTTTGGAACATCATCAAAAACAGACAAATTTTCTTTGAGGGTGAATTTGACATTTAAAATAACCAGAAGTCACTGAGAAGCAAGCCTAGTGAATAATTCATGTGCCTGAACTAGGTGCTTGAGGAAGGCAGAGGAACTCTCTAAAGCAAAATTCTGCTTTTCTTTATTGATTTGTATGATGGTTTCAAAGGCAATCACAGAATAAAAGATACAAAAAATGTTTTGCACAATAACAGGATTACTAAAATAAGTGTATAACCTTCCAAAGTGATTACTTTCAAAGATAATCTTTACTGAAAGGTATTAGTTTCCAAGAATTTTTAAAATGTGTGTTTGTAATTATATATGGCTAGATTATAAACTATATAAGAAAAGAATCATGAAATGCACTTCCTATATGTGTTCTTATTTAACATCATGTTAGGCATAATAATCATAGATACTCGATGAATTACTTATTGCTGATTTTCTAAAAAAAAGTAAAAAGAGATAAACGGTTTTAGAACATTTTTTTTAAAGACAAGGTTCGAATTCATCTTGTTCTAATCTTTTCTTAACTTATGTTTACATTATTTACTGTGTATCTGTTTCTCTTTCTTTACAATTTTGTATCAATTTGAGACAGTGAATAAAATTTAAAATAATTTGCCTTTTATACAGTTGGAATATATAAAATTAGATGGACATGATTTGGAATCATAACAAATATTTATTATTTATTATGGTACAGACTCTCTCATGTATCACATATATATGTATGAATACATACATACATATATATATATAGTATGTATAATATACATTTTGTGTGTGTGTGTGTGTATTTCCTCACACACAGAGATTAAAACTGAGAGAGTACCAGGCATGGGCTCACACCTGTAATTTCAGTGACTCAGCAGGCTGAGGTAGGAAGATTGTAAGTTCTAGACCAGGCTCCTTAATTTAGCAAGACCCTCAGCAACTTACTGAGACCCCTGTCTCAAAGTATTAAATAAAAGAACTGGGATGTAGCTCAATAGTGACTCACTCTTTCAAGATCACTTATTTCTTTTTAAGATACAGCTCTTTCATGGACAGTTATCCCATATATTAACCAGCAATCCACTTATCAAAATCCTCCACCTGTGGATTCAGATATTGAAATCTGAGTACCCAAAGCAAACTTAAGGTTTCTTCCATATGTTAACTCTTAAAAATATTTGTTTTTTATTTTTTGGTGGTGCTGGGGATTGAACCCAGGGCCTTATGAAGGCTAGGCTAGTACTCTACCAACTGAGCTATATCCCCAGACCCAGATCTTCAAATTTTTTAAGGTAGCTATTATAACTTTCCTATAACCACTCTTCCTCATTTCCTCCAAACTGAAAGACCGAGGCTTTTAAAATGTACTTTGCCATACACCATTTGCATGACATTAGATAGTAACTTAACCTTTTCTGCCTTAATTTCCTCCTCTGTGAAATAAGGGTAACAAAAGAAACGTCTTTATTGGGGGGCTTTGCAAATTAACTGAGACAACAAAATGCTTAAAAACAGCACTGGGGGGCTGTGGCTGGGGCTCAGAGGTGGAGCACTTGCCTTGTACATATGAGGCACTGGGTCTGATCTTCAGTACCACATAAAAATAAATAAATGAAATAAATATATTGTGTCCATATACAAATAAAAATATTTTTAAAAAACAACACTGGAATATGATAGATACTTATTGCATATCATACAGTGCAATGTAGTTATGTGAGTTGGTTTCCAATCCCCCCATCCTCATGGCGGCTCTCTACTAGGCACACTTTGTAAGAAAGCCTCTGGTTTTGTTTGCCTGAACCTGCACATTACACTCTAGAGTGGACTTCTACCCAACAGTCACCTGCTTAGCACATTAAAATCATGTGAAGAGGGCAGTACCTGGCATTTCGAGAACAAAAGAGTGGAGAGGCTGCTTTGGGAGGGGGTCGTCCTCCCCAGAGTCCCTTTGTTGGGTCTGCACCAGCACAAACTAAGATTTGCATCCAGTTTCATACGGTCTGAAAGTGGTGCAATAAATAAAAATGAATTATATATGGTAGGTGGTAAGGAAGTGTTTTTAAATCTAAATCCATTGGCCCATGAAAAATGAAAATCAGTTGAGGCTCCTATTAACAAAAAGCAGCTCATTTAGACTTCTAGAAAGAGTAAAGGCCTTCATCAGCTTTCCAGATGGATAGTTGTAATATATGCAAAAACATAATTAAAATATATTCTTCAGAATGTGACAGTCTCAGGAGTGACATGGACTGAAAGATGTGAATAAGGATAATAATAAGGAAAAATGAATTTGAATAAGATTGCAGACCCCAAGTAAGAAGTTAAGATGAGAGGTGGCATAAAGATTGGCCACAGCAATAATGTATGTTACATCCACTTGATGAAAGAGTGTGCAGCCACTGAAAACTGTGTTCAGGAGCAATATTTAATAACTCCATTGTGTGTGCTGCTTTGCTTTGATGACTTATGGTTGGAGCACTATAGACAGGACAAAAGTCATTCTAGTTTGTTAAACATGAAGGTTTCACTTAAGGTGTGGTAAGTATGATGGCCTTGAATAGAATGTTGATGAGACTAAAGTTGATAAAGCTTCAAGTTTCCCAGAGATAAACAGATAAAACAATAAAGTTTTCGTTGTTGCTGCTGTTGTTTTGTTTTGGTGTTGGGGTCAGGGCCTTACATGTGCTAAGTGTGCTCTCTCTACCCAGCCACCAAGTACAAAAATTTTAAAGACAGATTTCTTACATTGAAAGAGTCCAAATTTTATATAGTGATTGGATCACATTCTAAATAATAATAAAAACATTAGGAAAAATATTTTAACTACAATTTAATAATTATGCCCCCCCCCCCCAAAAAAAATAAAGCCTGGAAAGTATACATAGTATCTCTTCTCTTTTTCTCTGATTTATCTTGTTCTGGCAATACTAGGCAACACATTTAGATAATTTAAAATGTTGAAAAAGCAAATATATAATTACTATTTAAGAGCTAGGAATGCAGCTTAGTGGTATAGTATTCGTCTAGCATGCTTAAGGCCCTGTGTTCAATCCCCAGTATAGCAACAGACAAAAGAGAGGGGGGAGAGGGAGAAATCATTATTTGGTGTATATGAAGTGGTTATACAGTTAGAAATCTCAAGATCACCCCAAAGGCTATCACAGACAATGGAAGAATTCAATAATGTGATAATCGAAAATTTTATATACAAAATTCATTGCTTTTCTATGTAGTTTTGAAAACTATTTTGAAAGTATAATGATAAAAAGATACATTTCATATTTTAAACAAAATGATTAAATATCTAGGAACAAAATTAACAAGAAATGTGTAAGAGCTATTGAAGGAAATTTGGAGATGCTACTATAGAATATAGAATATGGCAAAAATATGCACATGGTCATAGAAAGACCCAATATTTTAAGATATCACATTACTTTAAATTGATTGACAAGTATAATATAACCCTAATGCAAAGCACCATCAAGACTGAGGGGAAAGAGACATGCAAACTCTCAAGTTCATATGGGAGGTGTATAGAAATTATGAAAAAAATTGAGAGGGAAAGTAAGGAAGGCATGTCCCTGCCAGATGATCACTAAATGTAATAGAGTACTTAAAACCACTGAGTTTTGATATTTAAAAAATCAGTGGAACAGAGTAATATAAATACAATACACACAAAGTTAATGCATGATACCTCTATCATGCATTTCAGGTCATTGAGTAAAAGCTGAATTATTTAATAATGATGGACAATCAGTCAATCCCTGGGAAAGGAAAGGTGGATCTCTTAAGCTCAGAGTCAGTCAGAATTCTGATCACAGATACAAAAAAAAAAAAAAAAAGCTATAAAAGAAAAAAACTAATAAATTCTATCATATAGCTGGACACAGTAATCCCGCTGCTTGGGAGTTTGAGGTAAAATGATTAAAAGTTTGAGGCTGCCGTGCACAGTGGCATGTGCCTATAATCCCAGCAGCTCAGGAGGCTGAGGTAGAGGATTACGAGTTCAAAGCCAGACTCAGCAAAAACAAGGTACTAAGCAACTCAGTGAGATCCTGTCTCTAAATAACATACAAAATGTATGTGGCTCAGTGGTCAATTCCCAGTACCACCTTCAAAAAAAAAAAACAAGGTGTGAAGCCACAGCTATTTAGTGAGACTCTGTCCCAAAATAAAAAGCTCAGTGATAGAGCTCTCGCCTAGCAAGCCCATTGTCCTGTAGTCAAACCCCAGTCCCCTCCCCAACCCCAGCAAAATCAATCACATAAAAGATTTAAATGCATGAAATACTCTAAGGTGAAGTCAAAGGGAAAAGCTTGTAATGGGAGCCAGTTAGCACTCTTCCAGGAAGGGGGTCTTAGCTAGCCCAACCATCCCCAGCTCATGAAGATATTACAAAGGGGGCTCAACAACATTCAGAACACCATTTCGCTTCATTTTCTTGGGCTTACAGGTGTTATGTGAGGGAGATATAAGCATCTGGGGATCAGACAAAGCCCTGAGTCAGCACCTCTGCCTGATGTCATGGTTTAGGGTGCAATGCTGTGAATCAGGTGAGAGGCTGGGTAATTGGGTCTTCAGGCACAGATACAGTGTCCAGGCAGCTTCTGAGAAGTCAGTCACACATTACTGAGATAATAAACCTGGAACCTGCCAAGCCCAACTTGACTTGTTCTTTCCCAGGCAGGAGGTCCTCTCCCTTCTCAAGCAACTGCTGGGAAAGAG